GATAGGAGGAAACCCGGCCAATCAAAGCAGAGGGGAAGGTGATGCAACAGTGGGCAGGGCCAGGAACAGAATGACACACCCCCCCCCCCCCCAGAAACATCCGCCCCTATAGGGAGTAACTTGTCCCTGGGGGTCGTAACAATTGACAATAAATCCCTCTTGAATCTTGGATCTCTATATGTAAATTTAAATAACTACAATGTATGAGAATGAACATTGCATTTATTTAGCACTTTTCAAGACACCCAAAGCACTTTATGGAAGCTCTGGGGAGCCCCTTCAGCCACCACTGTGTCGCCCATACCTGGATGATGTAATGGCAGCCATTCTGCTCACCACACAGTAGCTAACGTGGTGAAAGAGCAGGAGAGAATTCACTAATTAGATATAGGGGATGATTAGGAGGCCAGATTTGAAAGGGCCACAGTGGGCAGTTTAGACAGAGCATCGGGTACCACCCCTACTCTATTAAAAGATGCCCAGGAATCGCTTATGACATTGGAGTTCCAGGACCTGGGTGTTACATCACATCTGAAAGACGGCACCATCCAGCAGTTACCTAGTTTTCCTACTTGGTCTCCCATCCAAGTACTGGCCAGGGCTTAACCTGCTTGGCTCCAGGTAGATTAGCTGGTCTGACCTGCAGGTGCTTTGGCTCCTTACATAAAGAAGCACCGATAAGCTGAAAAAGGGTTTTTTTTGCAGGCAAATATTATTTTATGTGATCAGTTTTCATATTTTTGCAAATGCAGTGATATTAAATGTAACATTTATTCAAAACAAATTTTTATATTCTGCAGAGTAAAGTACTGCAGCCTACTGCAGCTGGTACTGACTTTATGAATATGTGTATAAATGGTGTAAGAGGGAGTGAGAGTAAATAAGCTGAGTAATTTTCATACTGTCCCTGCAGGTGTGTCCACAGTGAGCAGGGCGACTGTACAGAGAGGAGGATCTGTCACCATCCTGTGTTCCTATGACAACATATATAAACAGCAGGTGAAATACTGGTGCAAAGGGAGTGACTGGAGTTCATGTAATCCTATAGTACGCACTAATTCTCAAAAGAAAAGTGGTGAAGTGTCAATCAGCAATGATCACACAAAGCAAGTCTTCACTGTGACCATGAACAATCTGACAATTTGGGACTCTGGTTACTACTGGTGTGGTGTGGAGATCAGCAGAGGTTCAGCTGTGGGAACACGGGTTTACCTGTCAGTCACTCAGGGTAAGATGTCTGTACTGCAGACTGTAGCCAATGAGATGCACAGTATGTAACATGCCGTTCAGTCAGAAAGGAAGGACATTACCACAAACACAGGAGAAACTATTTTAATGAATAACAGGGACCAAGTTTTCGTTTTGATCAACACCATAAATGAGACCAGGGAGAAGTAACCGTAAATAGGCTACTGTAGGTGGTTAAATATGACAAGAAATATGTTAAAAATGTCAGCTGGTTTGAATTTTAAGTAGAAATGTTATAGAAAAGGAAATTTATAAATAAACATTCTGTCAAAGTCAGTTTGGCTGTCAGTTACTGATATTTGACCTACTGTATATATGTAAATTTAAATAACTATAATATATACAAATGAATGTTGCATTTATTTAGCACTTTTCAAGACACCCAAAGCACTTTATGGAAGCTCCGGGGAGCCCCTTCAGCCACCACTGTGTCACCCCCACCTGGGTGATGTAATGGCAGCCATTCTGCTCACCACACAGTAGCTAAGGTGGTGAAGGAACAGGAGTGAATTCACTAATTAGATACAGGGGGTGATTAGGAGGCCAGATTTGAAAGGGCCACAGTGGGCAATTTAGCCAGGGCATCAGGTACCACCCCTACTCTATTGAAAGATGCCCAGGAATCGCTCGTGACATCCGAGTTCCAGGACCTGGGTGTTACATCACATCTGAAAGACGGCACCATCCAGCAGTTACCTAGTTTTTATACTTGGTTTCCTATCCAAGTACTGGTCAGGGCTTAACCTGCTTGACTCCAGGTGGATTAGCTAATCTGACCTGCAGATGCTATGGCTCCTTACATAAAGAAGCAACTATAAGCTGAAAAAGGAGGTTTTTTTGCAGGCTAATTTTATTTTATCTGATCAGTTTTCATATTTTTGCAAATATAGTGATATTAAATACAACATTTACTGAAAACAAATTTTAATATTCTGCAGAGTAAAGTACTGCAGCCTACAGTANGATGTCTGTACTGCAGACTGTAGCCAATGAGATGCACAGTATGTAACATGCCGTTCAGTCAGAAAGGAAGGACATTACCACAAACACAGGAGAAACTATTTTAATGAATAACAGGGACCAAGTTTTCGTTTTGATCAACACCATAAATGAGACCAGGGAGAAGTAACCGTAAATAGGCTACTGTAGGTGGTTAAATATGACAAGAAATATGTTAAAAATGTCAGCTGGTTTGAATTTTAAGTAGAAATGTTATAGAAAAGGAAATTTATAAATAAACATTCTGTCAAAGTCAGTTTGGCTGTCAGTTACTGATATTTGACCTACTGTATATATGTAAATTTAAATAACTATAATATATACAAATGAATGTTGCATTTATTTAGCACTTTTCAAGACACCCAAAGCACTTTATGGAAGCTCCGGGGAGCCCCTTCAGCCACCACTGTGTCACCCCCACCTGGGTGATGTAATGGCAGCCATTCTGCTCACCACACAGTAGCTAAGGTGGTGAAGGAACAGGAGTGAATTCACTAATTAGATACAGGGGGTGATTAGGAGGCCAGATTTGAAAGGGCCACAGTGGGCAATTTAGCCAGGGCATCAGGTACCACCCCTACTCTATTGAAAGATGCCCAGGAATCGCTCGTGACATCCGAGTTCCAGGACCTGGGTGTTACATCACATCTGAAAGACGGCACCATCCAGCAGTTACCTAGTTTTTATACTTGGTTTCCTATCCAAGTACTGGTCAGGGCTTAACCTGCTTGACTCCAGGTGGATTAGCTAATCTGACCTGCAGATGCTATGGCTCCTTACATAAAGAAGCAACTATAAGCTGAAAAAGGAGGTTTTTTTGCAGGCTAATTTTATTTTATCTGATCAGTTTTCATATTTTTGCAAATATAGTGATATTAAATACAACATTTACTGAAAACAAATTTTAATATTCTGCAGAGTAAAGTACTGCAGCCTACAGTAAACTGATACTGACTTTATGAATATGTGTATAAATGGTGTAAGAGGGAGTGAGAGTTAATCAGCTGGGTAATTTTCATACTGTCCCTGCAGGTGTGTCCACAGTGAGCAGGGCAACTGTACAGAGAGGAGGATCTGTCACCATCCCATGTTTCTATGACAACATATATCAACAACATGTGAAATACTGGTGCAAAGGGTGGGACTGGAGTTCATGTACTCCCAAAGTACGCACTAATTCTCCAAAGAAAAGTGGTGAAATGTCAATCAGTGATGATCCCAAAAAGCAAGTCTTCACTGTGACCATCAACAATCTGACAGCTGGGGACTCTGGTTACTACTGGTGTGGTGTGGAGATCAGCAGAGGTTCAGCTGTGGGAACACCGGTTTCCCTGTCAGTCATTGATGGTAAGATGTCTGTACTGCAGACTGTAGCCAATGAGATGCTCAGTATGTAACATGCCGTTCAGGCAGAAAGGAAGGACATTACCACAAACACAGGAGAAAATGTTTTAATGAATAACAGGGACCAAGTCTTCGTTTTGATCAACACCATAAATGAGACCAGGGAGAAGTAACCGTAAATAGGCTACTGTAGGGGGTTAAATATGACAAGAAATATGTTAAAAATGTCAGCTGGTTTGAATTTTAAGTAGAAATCATATAGAAAAGGAAATTTATAAATAAACATTCTGTCACAGTCAGTTTTGCTGTCAGTTACTGATATTTGACCTATATATGTAAATTTAAATAACTATAATATATGCAATGAATGTTGCATTTATTTAGCACTTTTCAAGACACCCAAAGCATTTTATGTAAGCAATGTGGAGCCACTTCAAACACCACCACTGTGTAGCCCCCACCTGGGTGATGTAATGGTAGCCATTCTGCTCACCGCACAGTAGCTAAGGTGGTGAAGGAGCAGGAGAGGATTCACTAATTAGATATAGGGGATGATAAGGAGGCCAGATTTGAAAGGGCCACAGTGGGCAATTTAGCCAGGGCATCAGGTACCACCCCTACTCTATTGAAAGATGCCCAGGAATTGCTCTCAGTTACTGATTTTTGACCTAAAAATGTGAACTTAAATGTGTAAGTCGACAAATGAGGTTTTTGCAGGCTAATTTTATACTAAACGATTAGTTCAGTTAATCATTCATTATACTGTTTTGTTTTTTACCAATACAGTGACAGTAAATGGAACAATT